TATAATATTTAAAAACTTAAAAGGGCAAAAAAATATATATGTACTAATTTTAAAAAATTTTTAAACTTGAGGGGGGTGATTGCCCCCCTGGCACTTCTTCCCTCCGCCCCTAGTCATGGCAATGGGCTTGCGCCATTGAAGGAGATAAGCGGCAATGCATGACACGGGGTGGTTAGCCAAGGTGGTGGTATGTTAGAGGACTAGAAATAAGAAAGCTGATGTGGCAGGGGGTGTGCATAGGTGGACAGTTGTTGATGATATATGTAGATGATGATGCATGAGATAGGATGTATGTACAAAGAGCAACTATAAAAGCTCATTCTTGTAACAAAATTGGTTATCGAAAGTAAATGCAGTTTTTTTATCTTCAGTTTCTGTCTTCTTTTCTTATTTTTTCTAAGATTTTGTTTCTCATCTCACTTCCCTTCTCGATTCTTTTCTCATCTTTATCTCTTGATTCTTTATGGATTGTTGACTGGGTTATATCATGATAGGGTTCTTTGCTAGGTGGAGGCCAGCAGAATGCGAATAGGGTGGCTAGTGGCGAGGCGAGTACTGCATTTGAAGCTTGAAGGTGACAAAAGGTGAATTGCAGTGCAAGGCCCTCGACTTTAGTAGGTTTTCAAGTTAGCCCACCTATACTTTTCTGTTAATGTTGAGTCCAATCAGTTTTGTCGCCCTTTTAATTTTGGTTCCATTGAGTCCTGTTAGCACTAGCCAGGGAATGGAGACCCGTGTGTGTAGGCATAGGTTGAATAACTCTTCCATCCTCAATATCCAAGATAGCGTGGGTAGCTCTTTGGGTTTTCTTGAATTTGCTTCGATAACAATGACAACGTTCTCCTACAGAGTAGAACCATAAGTCCTTTAGGGTGATTTTTTTCCATGCCCTCTTTGGTCATCAAGTTTCCTTATCCACAAGGATTGACAACCCTCACTTGTGAATTATCTTACCAATTTTAAAGAAATTGGTTATTACAATTAAAACAATTATTACTTGGTGTAAAATATGGCTACCAAAGCTCTTTGTTTTTTCTCTCTTTTTTTTTTACCCATTTTTTAAAAGTAAAAAAAGCTTGGGTTAGTAAAAAAAAGGAAAAGAAAAAAGCTTTTTTTTTCTTTAAGAATATGTGTGAATAGAGATTCAATTTTATTAAGAAAATTTTTTATTGAAAAAGTAATTAAAAAAAGTATTGT